CGAACATGCATTTAACGGACAATTTAAAAGTATCGTATCGTAGTGGCGCGCATAGTCAATTCCCTTGCGTTTGACGTTTACACACTACCGCCATCTGCTCAGCATAGTGCCCACCACAGTGTATTCAAAAGATGGCGGTAATGTTTTAGCGACGATGTTTTACAGTGAGAAATATTCAATGACGTATGTCTGTTTGTCTGTGGTAATACTATATAAAAGCTTGTATCTCAACCATACGAAAAATCACTTTTTCCCGAACAAACCTGAGCCATTTTCCATTAATTGTATTGTTGTTATATTGTTCAACTGTATGGGACGTATTGTACACAATCCTCTGCCAAGAAGAAGGGTTGCTGAAGCCACCACCATTGGTGGTGTCAGCACTGTAGCCTATGATATTTATGCTATGTTTATATGTGCATTGACGACACGTATGCGTTAAAAAAAAATCTAATGTGAATAATCATGAATGAAACTTGAATTTTTCATGATTAGCTGCCTAATTAGAAAATAATATAATAAATATTAATTTCTATTTAATTCCTACTAGTACGTGCTTGTTGAACATTTATCACGATTATTTTTCCGCGCAAAAAATCAAACATCTATGTGGACGGAGCATAATTTATCAATGCTCAATAATCTTGTTGGTGCTGCTGCAAAGTCCTCCAGCGATGGTATTTTAGACCTAATCGTTCTTCCATAACAAAGCTCAGTAGGCGTCTTCCCTGTCACCGAGTGAGGCGATGTGTAATACATCATAAGATAGTCTTGTAAGTCAGTTTTCCAGTCTCGCCCTAAAGCATGACTAATTTGGAGACGCTTTAGTAACGAGCGATTCTCTTGTGGCCAATAGGGAGTGAAGTGATTCAGGAGGATTCCATTTTTTACAGTAGTCCTCAAACGTTGTGCTCACAAACTGCCTTGCGTTATCTAAAGTCACTGTAACAGGAAACCCAAGTCGCGTGAACATTTTATGCAAACGGGCAATAGTTTCATCAGCAGTTATGTGTTTCATAATCTCGACTTCCTAGTAACGGCTGTAATAGTCTATTACGACTAGGAGATATTCTCCACTGGGTAGCGGTCCAAGAAAGTCTAAAGCAACATCGATCCATGGTCTAACCGGTAACTCTCTACAGTGCATTGGTTCTGGTCTGGCCGGAAGGGAAACCCATCTACAACCGTTGCACGCTGCAACATGTGCGGTTACTTCACGGTCCATGCTACAGACTCTCTCGAAGCCTTCGCTTCATTATTGTCTCGCTGGGATGACCCTCGTGAGCCAAGGTCAACATTCTGCCTCGTAGTGCTTTAGTAACAATTAGTTTATTTCCTCGCACCACTATATCGCCAACCAATCCAAGCTCGTTACGGTACGTTTCAAATGGTTTAACTCTATCACTGTCCCATTTTCCACGTCTAAGGCATTCCTTGACTATACAAAGCTGTTCATCTTCCATCGATGCCCTCTCAAGTTCAGTTGTATCAACCGCCGCCGACTCCAGGATAGCTAGTACCAGAAATTGATTATCACCGTCGAATTCTTGAGTAGAACTTATTGTTGCCAGACGTGAGAATGGATCGGCTATGTTACTGGCACCTTTACGATAACACACTCTGAAGGTGAAAAACTGTAGCCGTAAGACCCATCTTTCTATACGTGCGCATGGGCGAGAAGTTGGTGAAAATATGGCCTCCAACGGTTTGTGGTCCGTCTCCACTAGATATATGGAGAACCGTTCGACTGCCCAAACGAGCGCTAGAGCTTCTTTTTCGGTTTGGCAGTACCGTTTTTCAGTTGAGGTTAAGCTTTTGCTAGCGTAGCAGATAATGCGGGAATCAGGACCATCCCGAGTATCGCCAAACTGTACAAATACAGCTCCAAGTCCTACAGGCAATGCATCCGCGATAACCCGAGTGCGAAGTGAATTGTCAAAATATTTCAATGTATGTACCAACCAGATACCATCTCTTTTAGCTTCCGAAAAGCGTCCTCGTGTTCCGATTGCCACTTGAAAGGAACTCCTTTATGAGTTAGTTCCCTCAATGATGTACAAACTGTAGCAAGATCTGGGAGGAATCTGCCTACATATGTTACAAGCCCCAAAAAACTTCTTAATTCCTCTGAAGACTGGGGGGCTCGAAACGTTTTAAGAGTGGCTACTTTATCTTCAGCCGGTCTAATACCATCAGCGGATAAATGGTGCCCGAGGAATTCCACTTCTCGGAGCCGGAAGACGCACTTCTTATGATTAAGAAGTATATTCTTGCTTTTGAGTGTTTTCATCACCTCCTCCAAAGCACGGTCGTGTTCTTTCTCGGTCTTCCCGAAGATCAAAACATCGTCTATATAATTGACAACGTTATCACAATTGGAAAGAATCTGTTCCAGAACTTTCTGGAACATTTCCGGAGCACAAGAGATACCAAACATCAACCGTTTATATTGAAACATTCCTTTGTGCGTGATGAAAGTCGTAATGTGACGTGAAGCCTCGTCCAACTCTAGTTGGTGAAATGCATCCTTAATATCCAGTCTGCTAAAAACATGAGCGTTCTTTAGCAAGGGAAGGAAATCGTCAAAGGTTGGCATCAAGTGAGCTTCCCGTTTGATGGCCAAATTTGCTCGTCTCATATCCACACATAAGCGCAAATCACCGTCATCTTTCACAATGACAACTAACGGAGAGACCCACTGACTGAAGTCGTGTACAGGTTCTATTATGTCTGCCGTCAACAAAGACTCCAACTTCTCCTCTATTTTGTCCAACAGAGCCAAAGGTAGACGTCGAGCTTGCTGAGTTACTGGGGTGACACTGTCAGCGATGGGAATGTTCAGCTTGATGTCTTTCATTTTTGGAAAGGGACGCTTCTGGTCCGATCGTAAACGGTAAATTTCTGGAACGTGCAAGCCCTAGAGTCAGGACACCAAGTTCCTTAGCTGTGGTCCTCCCAAGGAGTGGCTGCGTACCTCCTGCTATCACGTAAAAGGTGGAATCTGCTGTAACACATTGATCGCTTTCATTGATTATGATCTTAAACTCGTAAACTTGCTGAACAACCAAAGGCCTTGAACTCCTACCATAAGCCCTAAATGTTTGATCGGAATACGACCGTAGATTATTGACTTTTACTCCCTGAGTTTTTATCTTTTCCCAGGTTATATCATCTAGAATGTTTTTCTGGCTACCAGAATCGATCAAAACCTGAACCAACACTCCTCCAATAGCAATCCACAAAAATTCATCTCCTTCTCCAATAATGAAAATAAAACTGCTAATACTACCTTTCTCTTCCACCTTTTCGATTGCCCTGACATGTTGGAATCTGGGATATTTACGCTTCCGATCTTCCTTCTCTTCACGTTTACGCTTCTGGGAAAAATTCGATGAATGACAGTGGACAACGAAGTGGCCCACCCTTCCACACCGGTCGCAGGACTTTGTTCTAGCTGGACAATTAGTATCGTTCGCGTAGTGGCCCTTTCGACCACATCTGGACCACCCTTCTATCCTTGCTTCGGTCTGAACTAAATGACCGAAAAATTAAAGGTGATACATCAGATAACGAAAAAACAAATAAACAAACAAAAACACCCTTCAGTACCTTTTACTGAATTCTGAATTTTGTTTACCACCCCCGACGTTGATGGTTGGTTCGTGGTAGTCATCTGATTTGCCTGAAATTTAATCGCTTCGTAGAAGTTGACCATTTTGGTGACATCGTCCAGCACCAAATTCTCTCTTTGTAACAACTTCTCACGCAACTCAGGAGGCGCCAATTGTATGACTATCTATCACACTGATTTCCTGAGCTTCTTGCTTACTACGCCCGAAGTTACACTTGCCAGCCAATTCCGTCGCTCGCAACACGAACTTATCGAGAGATTCAGCTTTCTCCTTCGGGGTTAACGACCAAAACAGAAATCGTTGGTATGCTTCGTGTTGTTTTGGGGCAAAATATTCGTCCAGCTTAGTCATGGCCACTCTCAATGGATCAATATCATGTCGCTCATCCACATCAGCACCAGGGAGACTGCTGAACACATCTTGAACGTCTGGTCCAGCGCGAGCCAGGAAAATATTCTTTAGTCGTGTTTTGTTTGTCACCCCGTTTGTCAACGCAAGGTACTCAAATTGCCTTTTGTAGCGCAGCCATTCATCCCGAACCTCATTGGGAGAAATGAGCTTGAATTTGAATGGAGCAATGTCAAATTTATCCATTTCTACACTGAAATTGGTAAACTATCCCTACAGAATCTAGTTTGATTACCTTCCACTCGCTGGATAGAACACTAGTTGGGACACCTCCCAGTTTCTGTCGATTACTTGAAATTTCTTATCGATTAGCTTGGGACCGAAGAGAGTACCAGAGCTGAGCCAAAAAGTTGAGCACGTTTCTTCGGGACCTTCTAGTCTTAGAGTTACCTCTATGGTTAAACGTACCCTGAAACGTTTTATTACACGAGAAACAGTGGATTGTTGGATTTCCAACATCTTTCCGATGGGTCGGTGCGAAAGATGTGGGTTGTTGAGGTGAGTGTGCAAAACTTTCTAGCTCACGCGCTGTTCTTTCCACTCCATTTTCAAAACTACTAGAAATTTCACAATGAAACTTTCACAGTGTAAACAATACACGCTGAGGCCATCTCATCCGAAATTCCATTAAAATTAACCCAACGGGCCAAATGCTACAGCTTTTTGGAAGTAATGCAATTGAACTGTGGACACCCTTTACAACACTAAGTTTGAAAGAACGCAATAATCAAAAATGCGATAAGCAGTATGCTTGAAAATGTCTTCAAAAAATCTTCAAATCCGAACTGGATCCCAAATAGCTTAAATTCATATTTCAGTGCCACCAGTACTATAAAAATCCAGCAAAAACCTAGAAGAAAAAAGAACTCCATGACAAAATAGCCCCACTTTCCCTCTACTGGGAATCAGGTTTGGAACAGGTTTTCTTTCAAAGCAAAACAAAATAAAACGACCTTGATATTATTTTTTTCTGATTCTTATGTTAAAAATTGGTGAAATCAAGTTTCATATCACACTAATTCGCAGCTAAAAATCACCAAAAAATGTGTGTTTTATTTGCGTTTTATGTCGGCATCTTGGCTCCTAGACAGCATCCTCCAGATTCGCACTCTCATGTCTACTAGTCCGTTTCCGCAACATTTCACAATTCACCACGCCTCAATGGAAATACGCATAATGACAGAACGGTAGGTCGTTAAATATGCACTGAAACTAATCACTTCATTCGTATGAGTATGTTCTCGGTCACAGATTGTTTTTTTTTGTTCTCTCTCTCGTAAAGGTATGCCTATTATAATGCACATAAATACTATACTGATAACGATTCCCTTGCTAGTTTATTCGAAAAGAAGAAACCTAACCTACTAGTACCACGATCAATTTAGGGAAAATCTAGGCAACTTATTCGATAAGGTTGAAGCCAAAACGTCCAATCATCGTCAGCAGTCGTCGGAACAGACAAGATGCTTCGCTCATAAACTATGCTTTAATTTGGTACAAAAAATATGCATTTGATACAAACTTCCATCCGCATTTTGCTTATAGCCTACCGAAAAAAAAAATAGTTTTATACTGGTTTTACATTTCCCCTATAATCAGTTGCATATTCGCTGGTATTTTTCCTTCTTCCATACAATTTTCAATATTTGATACTCCTATCACACTTTTAAATTCATTTCTTGCCATCGGTTGGTTCCACTTCCGTTCCTTCACTTCGTCATTTCGCTTTGATTTAATGAAAAGTTCAAAATGCATTTGTTATTGTGTGTTTGTTGTTGTTGTAATTTTTAGCAAAAAGATTTTCAGTTTTTTTCTCAATATTTTTTAGCAATTTTTTTTTCCATTAATATATCGACCGCATTTCGAGTACCGCGCACTAAATCGCTAGATTCACCAATAATTGGTAGTTCTTTTTTTTTTGGTCTACCCTAACAGCTAAGGATGAATATATTTTGAGACTACATTAATGTGTGTGTGTGTGTTTTTTTTTCTGGTATTGTTTTCTGTGTGTATGTGTCTCGGTGTTTTGTGTGATTTTCTGAGAGTATTCGCAATTGTGTGATATATGTGGTTTAAAAACCTCAATTTTATATGGTTCTCTTCTGATGCACAAATTGGGACGACCATTTTCCCCAACTGGTTTGACTTGGTGGCAGCAATTCTCATTTTTTTACGAAGCAAACATCCTATAGTATTGGCTAGAGTATGAATATTGATTATTATCCTAAAAGATCAAAAAAATTGTTTTCTTTTTCTTTATGTTTGATGTTAGGTATAATCGATCGTCCCAAAGTGTGACCCGATGTTTGAATTGTATTCTAGAAAATAAATACAGAATTGGTTCTTCCCGTCAATCAATCACCGTAATAATATGAACTACATATCATTAGTGAAATAATATGGAAACTAAACTACCCTACCAAAAACAATACGACAACGAAGACAAACATCCTAATCGGGATAGGGTTGACTACTGTTTAACGGATGGAATGCAGTTTCCAGCGCAGCACCAGATAGGCAACGATGCGCAGACCGATGAAGAAGCAGAACAAGGCCGTCGCGTCGATCCAGTACTCGGCCTTGTCCATGGACATTTCCTCGAGGAACTTCTGCGGACTCCGGTAGTGGCAGTAGATCTCCGTGCAGCGCAGCTTCTCCCGGTCCATACCGTAGACGGAGACCATGGCTCCCTCGAAGCCATACCGCACGTAACTGACGTACGTCAACCACTGAAGGTACTTGGGAATGACGTCGAAGTTGACGAAGAAGCCGGAAAACAGAATGATCGGAATGGTGGACACCGGGCCGAGAAAGACTCCCGTCTCGACGCTCATCCCGGCTCCGATCAACAGGCCAAGGCTTTGGGCCACCAGCGACGTTAGGATGCAGATCAGCACGAACATGCCGGCCCGCTTCGGTTCCATCGGTTGGGAGGTTAGATAGTACACTACGATGACATAGACGCTAGTGAAGAGTACCTGTGCACGGGTTGGAGATGAGGAAGAAAAATGGTCGTTAGCTTATAAGGAACATAATCGGAGATGGACTAATGGTCAATAGCTTACACTCATAAAATAAATCACATAACCAGTGGAAAATATCCATGCGAATTTCACCTAACTTTCATGTGATCCCATAATTGGAAATTGCACCACTAAATCACATGAACGTTATGTGTCCAATGAAATCTATATGATTACTCACATAGAATTTCTTATGTTATGTGATATTCAGATAAAAATCATTATTTTTGCTATAGGCCTTTTAACACCGACAAACCGACATGAATGCCCATAACAAAAACAATAAAATTTCTGACCAAAGCACACTACTGACATCTGACTCCGTGTCCCCGGGAACTATTTAGCTAAGCCAAAAACCCGTATGCAAAAGTTATAAATTGGTTCGTGTCTGATCTATTCTGGACATATTATTTTTATCTAGATCAAAAAATCCTATGGTTTTGACAGTTCGGATCACTGCACATTTTAAACGACCGTTTACGATTTTCGAGCATAAGTCAAAATTAAGTATCATGTCGGTTTGTCGGTGTTTTTAATGCACCACCAACGTAGAGTGCGCCACGCGAGTTTGAGAGGAAACGTCAATAAAACCGTTTGTTTATATCAGAATAAGGATTTTTTTAAACGCAAATTAAAGCATTTTTCATTCAACTTCTTGGTAATTTCCATCGGTAATTTTCAATGAACATTTCAAATGGTCCTATCTGCTTTGATCGATTCTCTTCATCGACTTTCTTTTTTGATAATCACGCCTACGCAAATGCATTTGGTGCTACTTTTGACACATAGGTTGATAGCAGAAGTTCCTATCTTGTGCTTAGAATGTTGAACACAGCAGGGAATGCTTCGATGAAGTCGATAAAGAGAATCGTTCAATGCAGATAGAATCTTTTGAAATGTTTATCTAGAATTGTCTATTTTATGATTTTCTACAGATCTGAACTGATTTTCACCTAAAGGCACTATTCTAATATTCCATTTTATTCCACAAAAATATTCCTGAACACCAGCAGGATCCTTGCAAAAACGATACAGGATTAAATTTTTCAACTGTAGATCAAGTTTTGGAGCATCTGAGATGAATCAATTTATCAGGAAAAGGTGTTCCGCTTCCTATTTCTCACGAAAAAATTTCTGCTCACAACACTCTTTTTGACGTTCACCTATTCACCACCAGAGGTTGCATCGATCGCTTGGTTTCTATTAAAAAGTCATATTGGAAGAATATTGTGTGCGTTCCAAATAGAAACTAAGTGAAAACTTTTTTCAGTGTACACACTTAGTTTTTTCTATACCGAGCTCGGCTGTGCAAATCACGGCAAAAATAAGTTTCACTGAGATCTCAGCAAAAGTGACATTTGATTGCTGAGTCTCGGATAATGCTTAGCTGAATCTCAGCAAACAAATGAAATGTCTGCAGAGATCTCAGTAAAACTTTTTTCCCGAGATTTGCACAGCACGAACTTGGCAGAAAAAACTAAGTGTGTAAGACATGATTTTGAAAAGGGAAAGATTATAAAAGGCTACATACATATACCATTAGGTAGGGTAGAGAACTACTTTGGCCTTAGCGCTCATTTTGAGCCTATGAAGCAGAAAACATGAAAAAATCCATGATTTCGGCGTTAACAGGTAAATTAGGCGCTTGGTACGATACTTTAGTTCAAATACTACCGAACGAAGTCAATAAGAACGCGTGATATGAATTTTTGCACTCAATATTCTCAAAAACAAATGAAGCGCTCCGACCGAATTAAACTTTATCTTCATCCGGTACACAGCAAAAAATAAATTTTAATATTGCATCCAATAGGATGCACTTCAATCATGTCGAAAATCTCATGTAATTTTTATGGCCACACAAATAAACAAATGCAGTAAAAGCAACGTAATGTCAGCACATGCACTGTATTAATGATAATTTTCCCCTTTTTGGCAAGCAACATTACACAATATTTTAGACACGAGTGAAGTGCATCCACTTTGATGTGATATTAAAATTATTTTTTTGCTGTGTAGACCAAAGTGAAATCATTGGCGTTTCAATGGCGTTTCAATGCTTTAGGCCGAGTTTAGAATCCATAGGCCGAGTTTGGCGTCAAGAAGCAGTGTTAGACTTTTAACAATATCTCAACAATTTGTTCCTCTATATCAAATCTCGGAAAGGTAAATAAATTTTGGAAGCCATCAGTAATAGTAAAATTCCGTTTGGTGCTAAACTACGCTCGATTAAGATAAAGAAATACTAAGTGTGGGTTGTGCCTAATAGGCCGAAAATTGGGTAGTTAACTCTACTGTTTTCATAAGAGAATGAGTCCATACCCGGAGTGATTTGAGATTTGGGCGTAATTGCATTTGTAAACAAATACGTCAATCACCGATTTCTTGCGAATAAAAGCTCAATCTCGAAAAGTAATAACACTATGAGGTAGAGGAATGATTCCTCTATCATTTTGTATAGTTTGTTTGTGAGATTGAGCTTTTATTCAAGAGAAATCAGTGATTGACGTGTTTGTTTTCAAAAGAAATTACGCCCAAATCTCAAATCACTCCGGATACATCTAAATATGCTACTATTATTTATGTACAGGGTGATTCAGAATAACTGTCACCGATTTCACAAATATGCAATTCTCGATGAGTAAAATGGGTATATGTTCAAGTATTTTTGTTTTAATATCAGCTTGTATTGATAGTAGGATTTGAAATTTCATTCATTTTCGATTTCAAACAGACATGGACGTAAAAAATGGAGCATGTCATACATCTGTAAAAATTCTTCTGTTATCTGTTAGCAACTGAAATCTCTTCGAAAGAATGAAACATATATTTTTTGCATCATTCAAGAGGTACAAAAAAAAACATGCATGAAAAATCCGTTCAATATCAGAGCTTAGACGCATCGCCAGGACTTCAAAAGTGTTTCGAGCTAAAACGTGCGTGCTAGCTGTGGTTCATTTTCGTGACAACATTTGCTGGTAATTAAAGGTAAAGGGAGAATTAAAAAATGCTAACTTGAAGGTTATATATGTAGTATATCTGGAATATACTGATATCAAAAAATCATGCAAGCGTTCAATCGTTATGGATCATTTTTTTAAGTGACAGTGTTGCCAAATAATTTGAATTTACGTTCGAAAACTTCAAATGCAATTTTCTCTCAATGAATATATCAGGCATAACATTTGATAACGGCACAAAAGCATTTGTAAACAAACTTTCTAAGGCCCTTTACACGCGAACCAAAGTACGCCCACGCAAACCAACAACATCATCGGATAGGGGCAACTATCACCTTTCCGAAAGTGGTAGTATTTAAACAGGTTTTTTTTAAACCTGCATGTCAGTATAACAATTGATATCTTAAAACTAAAAACTAAAACTAAATCTTATCTAAGTATAAAGGGAATTAATCGTTGCAATTGAGGATTGCAACGATTTTTGCCTGAAATTATTCATTATTTTGTTGGACATTTGTTCTAAAGTCTCAACATTCGAAATTCTATGTACCTCGGTAGTACTGTACCAGGGAGGCAACTTCAAAATCATTTTCAGAACTTTGTTCTGAATCCTTTGAAGTGCTTTTTTCCTGGTAGTGCAACAACTAGACCATATTGGCACAGCGTAAAGCATGGCCGGTCTAAAAACTTGTTTAAATATTAGAAGTTTATTCGTCAGGCAATGTTTGGATTTCCTGTTTATAAGAGGATACAAACATTTTATATATTTGTTACATTTGGCTTGAATGCCCTCAATGTGATCTTTAAAAGTTAAATTTTGGTCAAGTATTAATCCAAGATATTTCACTTGGTTTGACCAGGAAATTGGAACTCCGTTCATAGTGACTATGTGACTACTACTAGGTTTCAAAAACGAAGCTCTAGGCTTATGTGGAAATATTATAAGTTGAGTTTTGGAAGCGTTGGGAGAAATCTTCCATTTTTGTAAATAAGAAGAGAAAATATGTAAACTTTCCTGCAGTCTGCTGCAAATAACACGAAGACTTCTTCCTTTGGCGGAAATGCCTGTGTCATCAGCGAACAAAGATTTGTGGCAACCCTGAGGCAAATCAGGGAGGTCCGAAGTGAAAATGTTATACAATATAGGCCCAAGAATGCTACCCTGAGGAACTCCTGCTCTAACAGGTAGTCGATTAGATTTGGAATTTTGATAATTTTAAACTAATTTCATAATGTAAAGTGGAAAATTAAACTTTTTCAATTTAGCAATCAAACCTTCATGCCAAACACTGTCGAATGCTTTTTCTATGTCTAGAAGAGCAACTCCAGTTGAGTGGCCTTCAGATTTGTTTGAACGAAGTAAATTGGTAACTCTTAAGAGTTGATGAGTAGTTGAATGCCCATGGCGAAATCCAAACTGCTCATCTGCAAAAATTGAGTTCGTATTGATGTGAAGCATCATTCTATTTAAAATTATCTTTTCAAAAAGTTTACTTATTGAAGAAAGCAAACTTATTGGACGGTAGCTAGAAGCTTCAGCTGGATTTTTATCCGGCTTAAAAATTGGAACAACTTTTGCATTTGCCTATTTATCAGGAAAGTATGCCAAATGGAAACATCGGTTAAATAATTTTACCATGAATGACAAGGTACTCTCTGCGAGTTTTTTGATGAGGATATAGAAAATTCCATCATCACCTGGAGCTTTCATATTTTGAAACTTTTTAGTTATAGACCTTACTTCGTCCAAATCAGTCCCCCAGGAATCATCAAAAATATTTTCCCGAGAGAAAATATTCAGAAAATCCCGAGCAACCTGATTCTCAATAGGACTAGTAAGACCCAAACTGAAATTATGGGAACTCTCGAATTGCTTAGCAAGTTTCTGAGCTTTTTCCAAATTTGTGATCAAAATTTTACCACCTTCTTTAAGCGCTTGAATTGGCTTTTGAGGTTTTTTCAAAATTTTTGTGAGTTTCCAAAAGGGTTTGGAAC